CTAGCACAAGGAGACAATTATACAGCATCGCCTGGCAGCAAATCTCCGGTTGTTCTGTTATTCACTTGCTGCTTTTCTAATTACGTTGAGTCCTATACAGGCTTCAGTCGTAAATCTCTGAGAACTTCAGAGTCTCGGAAAAATGAATGTCACAAGGTAGATAAGATTAGGCTGAGTTAGAATAAAACCATAACGAAAGAGTTTCCTTATAATATACAAAAACGAAAAGAAATGTATTCTCTGAATAGGAAACAGATACTAGCGTAAACCTCGTTAAGACAAATGACACTTCAGAGAATATAAAGACAAATATCTGTACTGATTGTTTTTCTATTTAAACTCTGTGTTTTCGTATGGTTAATACAGACAACTATATAGAGCTTCTTTCTATTAGATTAAAATCAGAAATATTTTTTAAAAATCACATTGGAAACACTCCAACGTTACCTACAGCGATATACGTAGTGGAAAACACAAGGGCTAGAACAGAATTTACACTAACATTATGGTAGGAACGTCGAACGCTCAGCGCTAATACGAAGTTCATCTTTGAACCCGAATAGAAAACAGTTCCATCTACCTCCCATCCTCACAACAGATATCCTTTCTATTAGAATGTTATATTCCTGTCTCTTTCTTGGTTGTGTAAATGTATATTTCTGAACAGATTTTCCCCACCAGACGTCTGTACCAATTTCGGAAAATTCAGAAGAGGAATTATTTTCGCTTTTAGTGTTCTATGTGCGTGGCGAAGTCCTGTACATTTACGTATGCTCGAAACGATTCAACTGTAAGATGTAAGCATGCTTTAGTGCGAATGTTAAACACATTCCTTCAGATGGATACAAACCCCGAACTCGTATATTTTCAATAGGTTTCATTGGAAGACTACGCTTCTTAGATTACATTGCCTGACTGCCTGCCTGCCATTTGTAACAAATGAACGTTCACGGAATTAAACTCCATGTGGATTCCTGACACCTAATTCGAAAAGTTTCCCTCTTGAAAGACAGAGAAAAGTGCGAGTCAGAGCTGAAGAAAAGGGCTACAAAATTGAATGTGACGATCGTAAAGGAAGAGACAAGAGGCAGCCTATGTCCCACGACCATACATTCTATTAAAAGTCCCCGAGGTACATAGATGCTTCGTCTTGCATTTTAATATTTGATAGGTTATAGACGTGGTGTATGACCTGAAGACAGAATGTTGTATAATCCAGTCACGGAAATTGTAATTCGGTTGATTACATTATAGTTTTATAATGGTGAGAGGATGTTGAAACTAACATGAGATGTCTTTCCTGTGGGCAAAATTAATATTCGGAGACCATTACTCAAGCGCCATAAATACAGAGCGTTTCGACTTAAATACACGCATTTTCGAGTAGATCTAAGGTTCTAATTTTGTTAAATTTCTTTTCTAAATATTAAGTACGCCTTTAAATTAGCTACTTTTTAAGCGCTTTCCCTTCGCCTTGTCTGTCTGTCGGTTCGAATATACGAACCGCCGAGCAGATTATTATGAAATTTTAAATTGGGAGTTTTACTGAAATTTCTCGAATAAGTACTGTTTTGTTCCCGGTCAGGCAACAGTGGTGGGAATATTGAATGAAGAAATACTGGTGCTTTAAGCACTTTCTTGATTTGAAGGTGCAATTTAAACTGAATTGTTTTCTTTCATTTACCCTGTGTATAGGCCTATTTTCTGAATAAACGTAATGTTTAATATGTATAACACAAAGAAAATTTGTTCTTGACAGCTTTCGGAGAAGCTACAAATTTCGATTATAAAATTTATTGCTTTACAACCGCGGCGAAAATCCGTGAAACATCGGTGGTGAAGTAAAATGTTTTCGGGCCGTTAAACGCTATTTTTACGTTGACAGATGGAAATTACAACTCACTTAATATCATACCTGTTAAGAGCAACATTCTTTTAAGTTGTCAAGGCGCAATCCAGTGCTGTTAATTAACCAAAACATTCGTCAGAAGATACATAACAAATTAAGTGCATTAGGCAGGTTGCATAATAGAAATTTGGGGCAAAAGTAAAATAAAAGGAAAACAATAGAACATCAAAAATGAAGCGAAGCACGTCTGCTTCTTATCTGGGAGGTCGAAAGTTCAAGTCATGGCGAGCAGACCGGATGAAGTGGAGTGTCCAGTGGTTTCTCTTGGCCTCTCTGTTCTGATAATTTCACTTGAAGATAGGTGTCAGGTAACTCTAGGTAGTAGTCGTACTTGACCTGAGGATACCTAACTTATTTGGAACTGTGAGGGGGGGGGGGGGGAAGAATATACACAGCTCGTTTCCCCTTTGTAATTAGTTCTTTCTCTGCTACGTTATATCTCCTTTTCATCTAGTTTCTATGTATTTAACAGATTCGTAATTTTACTCCCTGAACGTTTTTTGTAATTTGTTATTAATCTATGTAATATTTCCTCTTTCACAAGAGTAGTTATATTTTTATATTTTTGCAGCACGTACAAAACGGGGAAAATTAAGTTATTATCTCTTTCATATGCAAATTTATTATAAAATTCTCTTTATAGAAAGTTTTTGTTTGAAAAAGCTAATCTCCATTCTTGTATGAAGTACAAATGCTGTGTGAGGCGGCATTTAGCCAGATGCGTTGTGAAGTTTTGTACGTAACAATTAGAAAAAAAATAGTTGCGTATGATAAAAAGTGGTGTTATTGATACGGTTTCAACAACAGAACAAAACACGCTGTCTGAGGTTCGATATCTTTTAAGTTGTTATGTTGTGTGGTCTTACAGGTGGTTTCCAAGGAATGTTATTAACCACATGCAAGACAACACAGGATACCACAATAGACAAAGAACTTGCTAGTTTTCTGTTTGTTATCCTGTAATGACACTGTATTGTGTGCTGAGGTATGACAATGTGTTCCAACGGTCATTAAATTAATGAAGGACTGTCATAGGTAATGGCTGAAATAACTAATTACATAGAGAAAAAATTATTCATGAAAATCTAATAGTCGCACAATTAGCAGGTAATTCCCTGCTTTTTATGACAAGAACGTTCAGTCTCATCGTGATTACACTGCCTTGTCACTGATTCTTCTGCTCAGTCAGATCAATTCAGTCTACATCGTCATATCCTGGCCCTCTAAAATCTACTTTAATATTATCCTGCCGTCTATGATTAGGTTTTACAAGTGGTCTCTTATAATCAGGTTTTTATGCTGACGTTTGTATAAGTATCTCATGTTTCCATGCGTTCTTCATGCCACGCCTATCGCATTTTCCTTGTTTTGATCCACCTAAAAGGATCTGATAAGTAAAAATTGCGAACCTATTTATTATACAGTTTCATCAAGCCTTTTGTTACGTCATCCGTCTTAGATTCAAATACTATCTTCATCACCAAATCAACTTCTTAATTTATGGTCGTATTCTTCTCTTGAAGTCCGGGGCTAGAACGCTGATAATCCTAGATGGCTGTCTTTTGGGTTGTAGCGCCGTATAGTCTGGTAGAAGTTCACCATCTTTTCAGAGGTCCTTGCTGTCTCCATCATCAGGGCGACCTCAAATCCCACACACATATTATCATCGGATGTATGTATCATAGCCAACTGTGATGTCCGTTGGTTTATTATGAGAACCAAATCCAATCCGCAAAATATTGGCATTTGTTAATATCACTAATTTTAAGATATTGTAAATGCGTCATATATTTTTAATATCACTAATTTTGTTCAAAGTGCGTATCCACAACAATTTTTTGTGTTACTTAGGAAGTTTTTAACTTATGATTTATATTTAAACAGACATACAACTCACCTCCAGTAAGAGAACAAATAAATATAATTTTCTCTTCATACTGTGTAATGAATGGTCAGGGTGCACAGAAACAGACAAATAACTTTTCAGTGCATTTAGCATTGCAGCAGATTCCTCGTCTAAGCAAAGGACGTAAATTCAGCGTTCAAAGTATGAATACGGGTCCATCACATTGATATGGTCAGTGTGAGGCAGTTCCACATAAATATCTAGCCCTGGCGTAAAGTAGTGTGACAGTTAGCGTTTTGTACTGCAAAATCCCCACAAGCAACGACCCCTGTGGCTGTTCGCGGATTTAATTTGGACGACCGACGTCGGCACCGCATCAAGTTTTGCTTCTCTCACCGTCTCCTTTTAATTAGTAGACTAACATTGAATGTATAAGCAAAACATTAACGAGAAAGCTGCAAATGTCTACTATTCTTGGTCGTTAGACCACAAATTATAAACCTCATCAGAGACGAAGTAGTGATAATATATTCGCCCAGAATGAGTAAGAAATACCACTAAGAATCTCTTTATCAAGTGAGCTGATGTCGTGTCCGAGATATTTACGTAGTCACTGAGTTAGATTATTATAATTAACAGGAGAAGATATAACGGCGTACGGAATTCGTATTTTCTGTATGTGGGGTAATTCTGACATTTGTTGAAGTTCCTTATGGTAATAAAAATATTTATAATTCCAAATGCTGAATGATTTGCTTAGCTTCTTTCAGAACGTACAGAGTTGAAATGTGTTTTAAATTGTTTTGTATACGACGTCTATACAGTAGAAAGGCCTAGTTAACACCACACACTCAATAATTAACTCTTTGTTAATTGGAACAGTTGTAGTCAAATGGCTACAGAGAGTTAATTTCAACTAGTTTTATGGACAGGAGCGTTTAGGCAATTTAATTACTGCAGTAATGGTATTACTTCAAAATAAGCAGCAAACTCACTACCTAAAAAAAAGAGTTAGAAGGGTGAGTGTGTAACGCACATCGAACACAGAAACCTCAGACGTGTAATTATATCTTTTCAATGATAGTATTTTAATTTTAAAAAACTCTTGTTAATTACGACTGATGACTGCTGAGCCAATAAAAGGGAATTCTGCATTGATGGTTTTTAGTTTTGTGTGTAGGTTTCGTTGTGTGGTGCTATATGGAAGTTCAGTATCTTTACTTTGCTCATTATTTTATGTTTCAGATGTCCAAAGATGGCGGTCGTTTCATTCGAGACGTCTGGTGAGTACCTGAATATATTTTATAGCATTTATTTCCGTCTTCAGAAATCATAATTCGAAACAGACAACTTTCATACAAATGA